CTTACAAATTTGGGTCCTGTGACAGATCAAAGGGAAAGGACAGCTCCTGCAGGAGACAAGTTTTGTAGAAGGTATAGGTCAGCCATGAAAATTCATGCAGTTTTAGAGAATGATATGAAAACTGAATTGCTTATTTGGGCACCTGAATCTGTTAGAAAGGAAGCATCTCAGAAAAAAGATGCATCATGTGATTTCCATACACATTTTTCAGTCACGTCAGAAAAATCAAAGAATAGCTTCCACTAAGTATCTTCTGGTTTTCTGCCTCCCGCACTGGCTAAAAGCAGAAAAGGAAGAAGTAAAGTGTTAAAACAAATATAGAGGTTTACTAATGAGCAGTGGCAAAGAGATGAACTCGGGTAGAAATTCAAGCAAAGATTCAGATTGCTTGGAGTCTGTTTCATCTGCTGATGTAAATGTAAAATTTCATTAGTCAATGAAGCCAAGCCAGACTCCCCCCACCAGTTAGCTGCAATTTGTTTATACCATTAGTATGTATCAAAAATCTGTTTTAAAAAAAGAAATTCAGGAATTATCTGTGTCTCAGGAAATTTCCAGGCTCAGAAGAGAGCTCTTTAACATTGACCTGTAATCTTTCTTGTCAAGTGGTAAAAAATTGCTGACTTTTAGAAGATCATTAATGCTTTGATTAACTCACCCAAAACTTCCAGCATGATCCTATTCAGTAGTTTGTTTCTCCCCTGGAAATGGCTCTCAAGATGATATTCTCCTGAGTCATTAAGTCAAAGCTTTTTCAGCCACACTCTAATCATTTTCCATGAGAAGTCATTCATCATTTCAGTCCTTCCTACTTTAACAATACTTTGATCAGAGTTACCTCTGATAATAGGTTGACATCTAATTCGGGACACCATTTTGCACCATTTTGCACCAAAGAAAATGTTGAAGTTTCCTGATTTGGCTATCACATAATATCACAGGAGCAATGGGGGGACAGGGAGTTCCTTTTTTTTGGAAATAGCCTTACAGATTCTAAAGCAAATAGTGGTGATTCATTAGAGGGAGAAAAGACAGGAAAAAACAATCGCCATGGTGGTGTACATCTTGCCCAACAAAGGAGCAGAGCTAACATCAGCATAAAGAAAACTTGCAGAAGACAAGGAAATAACCAGCCCCAGTCTGAGGATGGTGGTCACTGGAGATGAGGTTGGGGTGACAAATGGGAAATTTGGATTACTGTTGCCCTTTCTGAACATGGGCTGTATCAGGTTCCAGGGCTGTTATTGCTGTCAAATTCCCCAAGTGCTGGGACATGGAGCCACCTCAGCATATTTCTTATGCCTCGTACATGTGTTCAAGTTTAAGATGGTGTTGCTCCATCTCACAAGTCTTCTATGTGAGTTACCAAAGCTTTTCTGTGACTGTAAAACACTTCTAACAGAACGGAAAATTTAGTGCAAAAGCAAGTATTGTTTTTTTAGTTTTCATCAACTTACTTGAAATATTTCTGTCCCAGACCCATTTATTTTTGATTAATACAATCCTACAAAATTGTATTCATGGTTTTTATGGTAATCCATAAAATATTGATTCTTTTCTTTTTGTTTTTCTTTGAAACTTTTTGATTTCATACGGCAAAAATAATTTCCTGGCCACTTCTGCCTCTAGATACATATAGGTACATATTGTGGTTCTATATTGAGCTATATAATAGAGTTTTGCACTGTCCTTGATAACCTCTAGTGGGATCTCTGTGTCTAGATACACCGTGTTTTGCTGTGAAACAAAAATGGAAATGACACATCATTCTTGATTTATTTTGGCATCCCACCCAGTGCACTGTTGACCTCATAGCTCACCCTCGAGTGAAACCACCATCTGTATTCTTTGCAGCAGAATATCCTTCAGATCACCCCACACTGATATGTGCCAGAATTCTCTCTTCGAAGTGCTGTCATGATCACAGAAAACCAGCCACGTCCTAAGTCTATCACGTCAACTGAATGATGCAGTGCATGGTTAAGGTTAATCCTTTCTTTTAAAGGGGAACTCAAGGCTAAGACTAGACAGGATTTTTCTGACAGCTCCTTGCACCAAAATTTCTTCTCATGTAAATTCTTGTGCACATCATATGAGCAGTTAGCTCTGAAGGACTCTCCCTCTGTATGCAGAAACACTTGCGTGTCCTCTCCTGGCATGCATGATCGTTCCAAAAAAAGAAGAAAATAATGCTACAACTAGTCACAGTTTACTATGCCAGTTTTTCTTACATTAAACCACTGAAACTCTCATGCTAGGCCTCTGAGAAGGGTAATTTAACTCTGCAGGTTTGCCTAAATAAACGTCTATGCTTAGCCTTAGTGCCACTACCCTTTTTCCATTATTATTCCTATTGTTTCTCTCTGTGGACTCAGTACTTTTTTCCAGTAAGAAAGCAAACAGCAGCTAGCCTGTCTATGACACCACTCACAATACCTGATCCATGACGTATCGGGAGAGAGGAACAAACAGATTTTCCTCCCCATATGCTAGGTGATTTCAGGCTGAGAACTTTGCAATAGTGGGAGAGAAAGGTCACAGAAGGGCAAAGATTGCCAGATGTCCCACCATGAAGTTCAGTTTCTGGACAAAATACAGAACTACTATAAACAAAAATGAGAACCTAAAAGCTTGTATAATTAAAATTAGCAAATTTCAGGCTAAACATTTCCTCCCCTCATTGACTTCTGGGAACCTCATTCTGTGCCTGGCTATAGATGGCCTGCATAAAAAGTGCTCAAGCAAATAACAGTGTGCAATGCATGCAACAGCACAGAGAGCATCCTGTTCCTAGGAGAAATGAGGAATCTCTGAGCCTTACCTGGGAGTGCCAGCAAGAGCAGCAGGGCTGGAAAACTCCCCATCCTGAAGTAGAAAGCGGTTTAGGGCATAGAGGAAAAAAATGTATCCCAGAGCTTCTTTATCACTGAGAAATTCTCTGTTGCAGGGGAAGCTAACTTGCTCTGTCACTTGCAGTCGTCTGCTGCCTAGAGTGATGATGCCAGTTTGGAATTGCTGAGAATATCTTTTAACCACAATCTTAATATTACTTCTTGGGTGGGAAGGATGCATAATGTTTACTGGCTGCTTTCTTGCTTTAAATACATTGTTGTCTAGATAGCCATATTTAGCAATCAGGCTGTGTGGCTGGAAAAGAAATAGGCATTTTCAGTCTCTAGCGCTACCTTGATATATTGCAGAGCAGCTTTCTGTTGGATGTGTTCATCCTTACTGCTGCTTTGCACCTACATGCAAGTTTTATATCCCTCGTTCCCAAAGCCCTTGTGTAGTGGTGGAGAACCATCACTGTGCCATCACAGAGACAGTGGATGGCCCTGCCTGAGGTCTCTCAACAGGTTGGAGCTGGAACTAGGACCCAGATCTCCTAGTTAGAGCTGCGATTCCCTTGTTTTATAGCAGAAGTCTAGCTGGGCACCACAGTACCTGGCAGTATCTGGCAATACTGAAGCTAGGTTTGTGTTAGTACAGCTGCAGTGGTGTGTGGCTGTGTATGGGCTAATTCACCCTCTGGAAATAGAGGAAATTAGTTTAGACAGAGCACAACCATGCATAGCCTGATGTTGTTCTGGGATCTGAGCTGCTGTTTCTGCATGGTGCTAAATGGAGCTGGCTGGATGTGCCAACGTGCCCGGCTGGCTCAGAGCATTTCTGTACATTATAAACGCAGCAGCGTGTTCTAAGTGTTACCCCTTCTCTGGGTAATGTATTGTGATCTGGTGTACTGCAGCTCTTTATCATGAATCCACACTAAGTCAGATAATCAGTTTGATTTTATTTAGCTTTGCAGGCAGTGCAGTGAAAAGAAGTATGAATGCCCTTGGGTTTGGGGTCTTCCTGGGGGAGCTAAATGCAGCTTCACTGTGGGGAGTTATGAACAATGATCGCATGTTGGTAACATCCCCTTGAGAGGGTAGAAAAAATACAGGGAGAAATACAGAGAGACAGTTCATTCTTGGTTTGCAAAATCATTTGAGAAATGAGGAAGCAGGCTCAGAGCTGCATGTAGTCTTCACATTCCTTTCTGCTATGTTCTGCAGTTCCTTATGCCTTTCCATACTGACTGTTCACCAAGGATCCACACTGTCCAAGGCAATTTTTGGGAGCTAGTCTTCATCACCTTGGAAAGACAGAATCTCTCACCTGGCACTGCTCTGAGATGACATGAAGTTGATGGGTCTCAGTTCAGACCCTGGTGGAATGATACTAGGGATGAATATCTGGAATAACTCTGCCTGGTGGTGTGCTGCAGCTACTGGCAGTGACGGGAGATGATAGCAGAGCATTGCGTTGCCAAAAGTGTGTCAAAAGCTTCAGTCTTTAGAGAGTGGAATCTCAGTTAAAAAGCTGATTTCTAGACAAATAATAACATTAGCTTTCAATACAAACCATCCAGTTCTAGTTATATTTCATGCTTTTGGGGGAAGCATTCGAGCATTTTGTAGAGACATGTAGGACATCTTGAAAAAAGCTATTAGTTCTTTAACACTGATCTTCAATGAATGAGGAGAAGTTTCTTGGAGATTTGAGACAGAACCATGTCTTTCCATTTTTACACTATGTGGATGTGTTTGTGAGTTGCTCAACACATGGTCGTTGAGATGTGTTACCTGAAATTCTATTTATGTTCACTGGTGTATCTGCAGTTTTATTTATAACAAAGCACTTGCCAATAGCTGTATAGAGCAGCAAAGTTTTTTTCTGGCCCAGCAATGAGCTGGGGGAAAACTAAGCAGAGCTCTCTCACCTTTACCATGCCTGGGGAAGCATCTCTGCACTTAGATAAGTCTGTGCTGGATCTCTTGACAGAAAGACTTCGTATTCCTCCTTTCCCCCTGGCTCTTGATCCCATCCTCTTCCATTAGGTTCAGGTGTTACTGGCAGCATCTTTTCAGTTCAATTGTGTTGGAAAAAGTTGGTCAGTGCCAATGAGAAGAGGTGGTAGATGGTGACATTCCCTCTCTAGAGTGATAGGTTCATCGATACCTATGTTTAGTAGGCAATCCTTTTCTTATGGCAGGTGGCAAAGCTTTGCCTGCAAATGCTTGATGTTCATTTCCCTGTGGATTCCCTTTGGTTTAGCTCTAAGCAGTGCTCTCCCAGGAGGGGCTGATTCCATCATGTGCAAAGTCACCAGTGAAAGGGAGGACCTGCTGCTCATTCAAGTTTGTGTTCTTCTGCTCTGTTTCTCTGTTCTTCCTACTGTTGCCAATGATAAAGATCAGCACAGCCACCATGAACTTAGTAACCAGGAATCCAGCAATGATATAGAAGACAGTGAAATCAGCTTCAGGAGGAATGCTATGGGGAACCATAAATACAACAATAAAGCTTAGCCATGAAGGGGATGGTTCAACCTTTAAAGAAACTCTTGTAGTATACAATGTGAAGATGGTAACATCTCCTGCAACAGGCAGTTCCTGCCTGTGCGCAACAGAGCCTGGGAGCTTAGAACAACTATAATAGGTTTTAACTGCAAGATCTCGCATACGGATAAATTATGGTCTGCAGGAGTTGTTTGGCTTGGCACTGAAGCACTGCATTTTCTGGATTAGGATAAAGCTGCTGTTTAGAAACCACACAGCAGCTCTAAGAATTGTCATGGATTAGGAAGAGGTAGAGAATATGCCTGTGGTGGTATTCCTCTCATCTTCAAATGGGGTTGCCGATGCTAATCTGCCTTAGTTCTAGGGAGACTAGAGATCACAGCATGAGGAGTTTTATGGCTTACCTGGAGATGCTCTGCACAGCACTAGGCTCCTCTGGCATTTGGGTCTCCAGGACAGCTGATGATAGAAACAGAACAATTTAGTCTGCAGACGCTTCTGGGTGATATTCATTGGCATCACCAACACCAGTGCCCCAGCTAGGCATAGATAACCAAGGTGAGATTGGGCACTGGGCTGTGTGCTAGGAGATTAATCTGGGTAGGAATAAAGGGATGACATGTGTTAGATGTCCTGTAACAGTGAGGTCATGTTGCTGTAAATCAGGAACTAAAATGAGGTAATGAAACACAGTCCCTCCTTAAACTAAGGAAAAAGTAGATGTTTACTAAAGTGAGGCCTTGGCATCTGCAGACACATACGAAATTTAAGTAGGCACTCAGGAACTCATGAAACTCAGAGCCCCAAGACGTACCTGTCAGCACTTCCACTTGCACCTTCCTTAAGCTGCTTGTTTGCCCCAGGTAGTCAGTTTTACACTGGTACAACCCAGCATCCTGCTTCCTGAGTCGCTTCATGGTCACTGTGAGGACCCCGTCATGGATATTGTCACTGATGGAGGTGCTGCCATTCCTGTTCTTTAGGAATGGCAGCCAGAAGCGTCGGGCGCTCACCACATGTTGGCACTTGGTCTCATCGATCTGCTTGCACCAGCTCTTTTCTCTCCACCGCTGCTGCCAGGGGTTATAGGTGCAGTTGACAGAAATGGTGCCCCCCTCCATTCCGTACACCACAGTGACATTCTCTGCAGCAAAGGATGCTAGGAGAGAAGGAGGAAGTGGTGAGCCAAGTCTCTTTCATATCTATCCCTTACCACTATGTTTATGCTAAACATCATTTTCCTCTTTTACAACTCTAGTGATGGCTGCTGTCACCTGTCTGCTTCCCCCATGAAAGATACAGTGCGCTCAGACTCAGAGTCTTGGTTCAGACTTTCTTGAAATATGTCTGTAGTGATCCCTCTGACTGGTGTGTTATTTGGCTCTTGCCAGGCAGCTATTCTTGTGTGGGGGACTGAGGGAAGGAGGAGGTATCAGCTTCATTAATATTTGCAGATTTTCTGAAGCTCAGGAAATTTTGGTCGTTGCCTTCCCTTCTGGGCCCTTGGTGACTGCTCTGGATTGCAGTCTGGAGCTCAACCACATCACACTTTCTGTAATCATTGGGCTCCTGCCCAGTACAGGGAAGCAGTTTCAGCATGATTAGGGGATTAAATACAAACTTGCATTTTCCTCTGGTCCTGAGGAGCATGAAGCTGGGCATTCAGGTAGATTGAGCTGGAATCAGGCAAACTGTCTTGATTTTTAAAAGCTCTTTTTACAAGGCAGCTCATAAAAACATAGCTTGACCCAATAATGACAAATTGTTTCTGTGTAACTCTCGTTAGACTAGTCTTGATGTAACACTCCTGCTTTGCAACGTCCAGCCTGCTTATTTGCACACAGCTGCAGCCAGGCAGCTTGCTTCAGGTTTTGGCCCTGAGCTCGGCCCTTCCACCTATGTTCATAGATGCAGATTTGGCTCTGGAGTACCTGCTATGGAAAAGGTCCTTTTGCACTAAATGCCCATGAAATTTATCCCCATTTTAAGGCTCTTTATACAGCCAGAGAGAAGCAACACAGCCCTGGAAAATGCTAGAAGCAAAGTGACACCTACAAGCCGGTGTCCAGCTAGCTGTTTGGGAGGTTACTTCTTAATCCCACTCCTAATTTCTAAATCCATGCGTTTAGCAACTTTTTTCACCCTATTTTTTAATATTCTACCAATTTCAATCATGTTGACAACTGGTCTTTGGCTGCTTGCCTTTTTTTTGGCCTTAGTTCCTTATTTCTAATTTCCATTCCTCTTTATGGTAGGCAAAGGCAGAAGGGACAGTCTGAGCTATTAATACTTCCAGAGAGAAGTGCAGTGTGGTATTTATGGAAATCCGTATTTCTAGTTAAAAAATTCAGAGGCTAGTGCCTTCTGTGAAACCATACGTAATGATAAAACAGAAATAAATTAAAAAACAGGCTCATGTGAGGACTTTGTGCTGACTGAGCCTTTTAATACCACTTCTTAAAATAATTTCAACCATTCTGAGTGAATTGTAAACTAAAAAAACTGAAGGTCTTTCAGGTTTGACTACAAGAAGGCATAAAAATGGATCTGTGCTCTCCAAGTATCCAACACCTGCAAGTCTTTATTCTGATACGTTGCTCCACTCCGCTGTTCCAGTCAAGGCTTACCTCACTGCATGTCCAATCCAGTCCTGTGCAATCCCTCTAAACATTTTAACTTCCTCTCTTGTTTCTCCTGTGGACCCTTCCTTGCCTCCAGTTCTGCCCCTTCAGTTCTTGGAACGGCCCCAGGGTTTTGTTTTTTGGTTTTGTTTTAAAAAGAAAAAGCATTGCAAAAAAATCTCTTGATCAGAATCATGGCTTTTAAAGATTTGCTGATGCCCCTGTGGAAAACTTTGTGTCATTATCTTTTCAACTAATCCTGCTGACAGATCATTTACTGTTTGTGTTCCTCCTCCCTCGTGTGCTACTGAAAAAAGTATACTGGACTTTTTTCCAAACTCATTCGGATTTTTGAGACAGGTTTCTGTGCTCCCAAAGCCTGAATCTGTTGCCTTTCTGTGCACTACTGCAAGCATCGGATCTCCAAAGTGTGGCTGGAGAGAGAAGAATGCCAGCTGGGAATACCAGCTGGGTCCTGTGCCTCGTTTCTCATTTCAGATGAACATTGCTTTCCAAGCTGAAAATAGTTAAGTGCCCAACATTTCAGAGATGTGCCCTTCATTGAGTTTTATCCTCCTCCTCTTGAACCCTAGATGCTACAATTTACATTCAAAGCCCTAAAAATGCAAACAAATATGATTTTGCAATTTCACATTTCATTCTGAGAAGGCACACAAGACTTCTGTCAACAGTGTTTCCTGTTGTGACTCCAAAGGATCCCTGTGAGAAAAGCTGAGCGTATGGATCACCGCTGGGCCGTTGTTAACTTAAGGGAAAAAACCAAACTCCGAGGAAGGAGTCTGACATCCCTGCAATATAACTGGGGAGGAAGAGTAGAGGGGAGAATACAGTGCAATGCTCCAGGTTCCCTCTGCTTGCATTGCATTGGACCTTGCAGTGTACAGCCAGGCAGTAAGACTCTTTATCCATAATAACTGTTTGTATTGGTCTTCCTAAGAACTGCATGCTACAACGAAGATGCCTTTGCATCCAGAAAAAGCTACTGTGTTTCAAGACCTGTGCAGTCTTTTCGCATAGCATTATCAGTAATCTCACCTAAGGTGCAGGTAGAAACTAAGTTTTGCACCAATCCTTTACCCTATCTGTTAACTGAAACCCAAGGCCATGTACGCTTTCTTACCTGACAAGAAGACCAAGAAGATGAGGTGCATGAGCTTCTCCATGTCAGTTGAGCAGAGAAGGGGACAAGAGAGGAGTCTGGAGAAAAGTGAAAAGGGCTCTTGCCCAAGAGCCGCTTGCTTTTCCCCCCCTCCTTGCTCTGCCGGACAGAATGAGCACAGGAACTTGGCATCTTTTTCATCCTGCATATTGAGCAATTCACCAGGGATGGGCATTTCTCTCGTGGGCTGAAAATTCAGGCATCAGCATTGCCCACTCACAGCCACAATTAAGTCTAGACAGCCTGAAAGAGAGCACCATGTGATGGCCTGAAACCATGGTACTGGGAGTGCCTGTCAGCTCAGCAACGGTGCCTGTCTAACAGAGCAGGCTTTACATACAAGCTTTGCATGGGGTGAATTTCTGGAAAGCCAAAAAGGAGAGGGTGGCTCTCATTGAGACTCTGCAGGTAGCTCAGTCAGCATCACGAGGATGAAGGGAGGGCAAGGACATAATCTTGGGGTTTATCTTCCAGGGAAAGGAGGTTTAGAAGAGCCTGTGCATGAAGCATTCCTATTTAACATATAACTGAGGACAGGAAAACAAGAACACTGTGCTGGGTGAAGCTTTGAGGTGCTTTGGATGAGCAAAACAGACATTTTTATTTTGTACCTAGCAGAAAGGACATAAGATCAAGGAATGGGGGCATTGATTCAGAGCCAATCAGTGCCATACTGATGCAGTAGTTCAGGACTGCAGTTATGGAGCCTCCTATAGCGTTAGCAAACTGATAGGCTGTGGATGGGTTGCTCTTTTTTGAATTTATTTACTTGGAGATCTTCCATGGAAGTATGAATAGACCCTGGCTTCTTAACTTGTGTGCTTATCTGTTGCTTAACAGGCAGATAAACCTGCAGGTCTATCAATTCATAAATGTGCCTTCTTTTTCTTTCCTCTAATTAGTGTTTAAGAAAATGGTACCTTACAGTATCAAAAAATTCTCTGTGAGGCTTACGGATTGCAGTTTTTGTTCATTCTTGCTCCAGTGAGCACAAATCTGGATTCTCTTTGATCAGAAGCAACTGTCTACCTGAAAATGTCTCTGTTGAACTCAATTGTTTTCTACTATTACTCTTCCACTGTTTGACCCAGTGTAACTGACTGCATGAATAGCAAATAGTTAGAAGAATCTTGGGCTGAATGAACCATTTCCAGAACCATTTTCTTTTTCTTTCTGTCATTTCAGGTTAAACATGTCAACTCTGAAAATCTCAAAAAATAGATCAGCTTCCCTGCTGCAGCCATAGCAAGAGAAGCCTATTGGACGTGACTGGCTTGTGAACAGGGATTGGTTCAGGCCCCTTTAATTTGCCACCCGCCGGCAGACCTTGGTGCAGCCAAATAACGTGCTGGGGTTTCTGGTCTTTTGGAGAAATTGAGCTGAGCCCCAGCAAACTCACTCATATTGCTCACCACATGACTGCTAAGTAAAGGCAGCAAATGTGTCATCTGGAATATTTCCAGCAGAGAGAGGGAAGTAATGGTATCACTTTCCAAGGCCCTGGTGAGCTCTCCCATGAAACTGTATATGCATTTCTGGTCTCCTGTGACTTTAGAAGCAGCCACAAAACCTTGCTTTCTATGGTGTAGCCAAAAAAAAAGTGCTGGAAGTACACATGCTGGTTTGTATTGATCTTCCAAAGAACCAGCTGCACTGGTGAATAGGCTGTGAAGACCTGTTTAAAGTACAGCACAGTGCTGCAAAAGAACAGAGCTACATCTGAGACTAGCTGGATAGTGATTCCTGAAGTGATGCAAAGATGCCTCATAACAATGAAGGTGAGAGACCAAGTGCATTGGAAAAACATGTTTGATAGTTTATAGTGTGATTATTCAGAATAGCAGGGTTTGATGAGGTCCCAGCCCGTCTAGTGTTCCTGTGTCAGCTCTTGGAAATTGCCAACCTGCATCATAGCTGCACTGGAGGTCCATAAATATATTGTGTGTCTGAATTACTTGGACATTTACATCTGTAAATAATCCACTCTTAATTGCCATTGTGTCCCTTTTGTTATATCAGCTGATGTTGAGACCAGCCCTCATACACTCATACTTCTTTCTCTGTTGTCTGTGTTATACCTCCTGCAACTTCTGCACAGCCTACCAGTTTCTTGCTCAGTGCTACAGACCTTCCTCATGTCTGTCTCAGGGCTCGCCCTTGCAGTTAGCACAGCAAGGCAAATTCTGTTCAAAAACATCCCAGTGCCCTCTCCACTCCTCTAGTGCAATACCACATGTTGTTCCCTTCTTTCCTTTCTCCAGAAACACTCATTTTTGGTTCTCCCTGCTTGTCTTGGTTCCCCACTGCCTTGGTTTAAGCAGCCGGTTTGTGTGTTCTTGGGGAACAGAGGGTGTAAGACAGCAGCCCACCCACAAGTTGTTGAACAAAGTAAGGGCCTTTGATTAGGAGGTGGTGAAAGGATGGGGCAGTCTGCACAAACTACACATGGGAAGCCATGCCTGTAACTTTAGATTTCAGCTGCTGCTTCATTCTGTTTTCAATGTACAGTCCTCAAAGACTGCATAAATATGCTGTGGCTGTGGATGACCCTGAGAGCAAATTCAGCTCTCAAGCTTGGAAATAATTGAGTTGTCTAGAGGGTACAGTGTCGGCGGCTTTTGCTAGTGTAAGCCACAGCAGCCACACTGAATCCATCCCACAACACTCTGCACTCCGTAAAGGGACAATTGTATATGCACTCAGAAGTGACATCACCTTCATTCCCTCCCACTCCCAAACTCCAGTGTGTACATTCTATTTCTTGATCTAAAGCTAAACATTTAGCTTTAGTTTGAAAGCTGTTCACCATCTTAGTTCTTACCTAAGTGGACTAAGAAATTTAGATTATAGGGGAATTTGCATTAAGTCTCAAAAAGTGTACGTATTACTTATATGCTCCATTGTTGTTTTGTAGCTACAAGACCTTCTGGTGCTCAGATTCATACAGCACAATCCTCAGTTTGCAAAGTTTGCAGTGCAGCATATCATTGTATTGCAATACACCCTTAAGCTATTTGCCTTCAGGTAGATGCTGGTTCTGCTTATTCCTATAATCCAGTGCTCATATCCCCCACCAATTACATGGCAAATGAACCCGGTCACAGCAAGGTTAGAGTTTTATCCCTACAGCACTGGAATGAGTTTGCTTGGCCATAGTAGCTGAACCCTTAGGGGTGGGATAGAGTTTCTATCAGTGAACATAGTTGAAATGCCAAAGCCATCCACGTCCAGACGAATATTGCTCTTATTCAAAAGGTCAATCCTCCACACCTGCCTCTCCAAAAGAGCCTGCATTTTAATGGAATTGAAGAAAGCAGATGTGCAAGGGATCCTGAGAACTACCCAGCACCTCTGTCTGACCCGAGAGAATCTGCACACTTGTGGCAAAATTCTCTACTGGCCTCTAATAGGAGGGAGGTCTTAAAATGCACAGGCAATATACACATGGCAGCAAAAACTTAGATCTTTCCCCAGTGTCCATCCACACACCTTCTACTCCCCATTCCCACTTTGTATTCCAGTTCTTTTCTCCCATTTCTGGATTGTTTTGGGGTTCTGTGCTTCATCCTTTGTCATTTGTCGGTAACCGCTTGAGAGCAATGATAGCATATTCCACATTTTCGTCTTTGGGTTTCTTGTGAGTCTGACTTGGTTCAACATTGCAGTAAAGAGGATCCTCAGAGCTGAGCTGGGATTTAAAGTTCAGGGTAACATATTTTAGGTCTTTGCTGTCATCCTTGGGACTTTCCATTCTTTCAGTGCTGTCAAGCTATGAAAAGAAAGGGAAAACACTTGTTAGCATGATTCAGTGCCAGGCCACAGCTGTTATCAAAACAAGATTTTCCCTGGCGGAAAGGAGAAGCCGTGTAAAAATTTACCTTCGGTCATGACAGAGATGGAAGAACAGAAAACTCTTTCCTTCATCACCTCTCCTTGATACAGGTTACATCTTCTAACCTTGGTTTCTAGTCTTTGAGTAATTTCTCAGAGAGAGAATTTGCTCCACTGTGTTTTTTTCCTACTGGAGTTTCCTTAGATTAATTACCTCCTCTCTTTCCACCTGGGAACATTCCTCTCTCTGGTGACATTAAATACCATTTTGCCTCCTGCTCACAACCAAAAATGAGCACCAAGGTCCTTGTCAGATGGGTCAGCCAGCTCTTCACAAACTATTGGCAAGGGATTGAGGTACCATATGGGAAATCCAACATTTTCCTTACCTGTGCTATGTCCTCTGGTTTGTCATAGGTGTCCTCTGCTTGTCTGGTACCTTTGGAATGAGCCAAAATCAGAGGTTTTAGAAGTAGAGAAGTCCATGAAATGCCTGGGCGTTGCCTATGCTTTATAGTTTTGGGGAAGGCTGTGGGATTGTGCAGGGATAGAAGCAATGGGTGTGCCAGTGGGACCCATTTACCCTGAGTCTGGTGAACATATTGCTCTCACTTCTAACATGTTAGGGGGTGTCCTGTGCAGAGTCTGGAGGAACATGGGTTTGAGAGGAGATCACAGCAAGGAGCCTGCTTTGAGGCTTCCCAGGCTGCACCTGCCTTATCTTCTCCAGGGCATTGTGAGTTGGGAATAAGCTCACCTGGAGTGGAAAAGTGATGACGAGAGAAGGCCCTGTTTAGTACAGACTAGAACACGAGGCATCACCAGTCTCCACATACCTCTTCTCTTTAGCTGCTTGCGACGCTTGACGCTCAGTGTTATCGAGGTGATAAGTGCCAGGATGAACAGGATGCTCAGGACCCCAGAGAGTAGGATGAAGGTGTTTACGTTTGAGCTGAAGCCAGGAGAGCAAAGGAGTTATCAGTGTTAGATGGTAGCACAGCACGATGCTGGCGCAGCCCATTACGAAACAGTGACCAAAAAAAGCAACAGGAATAGCTTTTATGCACTTGGAAGGAGGGTCTGGCTCTCCTGCAGCAATGCTATCTTGATTTTTCTACCTGGCTGTGCCTTCTGGGCATTTCCTAAACTACACTCCGGGCTTTAAAAATAAGCCACTGTTCAAAGTTCAGAGCACGATTCCAGGCTCTCTGGAGCAGGTACTGCCTTTTCCTCCTGTGTTTTGCTGCACCTGGCACACTGGAGCTGATGTATGACTGTACTCTTAGGTGCTGCTGTAGTGTTAATGATGGCAGATGTCCAAAGGGGAAGAAAATCCTTTACATTTAACAGCCTGGTAAATAGAAGGATAAAATAGCAGCCAAGGACTATTTCATTGTTAAATATTCATGGGCAGGAGTGAGCAAAGTTGAGACAGAAAGGCTTAGGGGCAGAATCTGGGGGTTTCTATTGCTGCAAAGAGTACAGCCCAAAGAGATAAGGATAAAAAAGTAGATAGGCAGAAAGCTGTGACTTGATTTTATCGATCTGCTTCTTCCTTTGTAATTACACTCTGGGCAGGAGCTGGAAGAGGAGAGGCCATCTTTGGTAAGGACGCCTGTCATATCTAATTCCTCTGTAAGCAGGAGTCTTCAGAATGCCCAGAGACTGCCTACCCCAGGAAGACAGGTGTATTGTGGACGAGACTTTAATAACTCTTGTCTGTGTTCAAGCTCAAAGACTTCCTCTAGGCCTTACCTCGGTGCTGGGGTGTTGCCAGAAGGGGTTGTTTGACTTGTGCCTACAGTACCTGACAAAGTTGTTCCAGCCAATACTGCAATCACAAACATGAAGAGAAGAATAATCACTACTGGGCTGCTTTGCATTTACCAGCTAAACTTCCCTGCCATTGCACATGGATATAAATCCACTCCTGCTCTGACACCCAACACAGACAAGCTGCCCAAGCTGTAACCTGTGTCATTAAGACTTCCTGGCAGCAGGCAAAGCAATGCAAGGATTGAAAGGTGGGAGGGAGGGGCAAGGAGCTCAGCAGGAGCCCCACTCTGTGTGTACCCACCAGAATGCATGGCAGAAGGAAGTGCTGTAAGTGCAAGCAGATATGCTCTGCAGCAAAGATCTTCAGATAGCAATGACGTACTTAACGACTCTGTGCTTAAGCAGACAGAGGCTTGCAAAAACTAAGCAAAGAGCATTGTCTGTGAAAGACTCGTCTGTAAGAATTGCTTCCGGGACTGCTTCTGTGCCCATGGGAGGTTGTGTGTGCAGGAGCCTGTTCACTTAGCAACTGCATTCAGTCCCATGTGTTAGGATTTTCTCCTAGAGAATTATGTCGTCCCCTCTCATCTCCTGGATTGCCATATCCCTTCAGTGCTGCTCTGCCAAATTCCAGACAGACAGGCTGCAGCATGGTGCTCGTCTCCCACAATCAGGTGCCTAAGTGTTACCGCTTAGTGTTAAAACATCATGCTGGAAGAAAACCTAGAAGTCACAGATCTTTAAAATATGGGTCTAAAGGTTGTCCCCTTGACAACCAAATGTGAAGGTCTTAACAGTCTTTGAAAGCCAAGGGATGAGTTGCTATAAAGGGGCTATCATGAGAATGAGTGACAGAAACACCTCTGTGAAAACGACTGAAGCTGCTCTCAGGTAAAAAAGAAGCAATACAGCCCATGCATGTGGTTCAGTTCTGATCCCTGCTGCTATTCCATAGCATGATTGGTGTGAGAAGGTACAATGATGTAGGGTTTGGGCAGGCAAACACATGCAGATGTAACGTGGGAGGTGGTGTAAGCTGCGCAGTGCAGAGACTAGGCAGAGAGAGTAGGAAAGTGAGTCTGGAATCTACAAACAACAACGTTTCCCTACCGG